AATTCTCAAAAACCAGCTCTACTCCCTCGTTGGTTTTTGAGAATTCTCAAAAACCAGCTCTACTCCCTCGTTGGTTTTTGAGAATTCTCAAAAACCAGCTCTACTCCCTCGTTGGTTTTTGAGAATTCTCAAAAACCAGCTCTACTCCCTCGTTGGTTTTTGAGAATTCTCAAAAACCAGCTCTACTCCCTCGTTGGTTTTTGAGAATTCTCAAAAACCAGCTCTACTCCCTCGTTGGTGTTTTTGAGAATTCTCAAAAACCAGCTCTACTCCCTCGTTGGTTTTTGAGAATTCTCAAAAACCAGCTCTACTCCCTCGTTGGTTTTTGAGAATTCTCAAAAACCAGCTCTACTCCTCGTTGGTTTTTGAGAATTCTCAAAAACCAGCTCTACTCCCTCGTTGGTTTTTGAGAATTCTCAAAAACCAGCTCTACTCCCTCGTTGGTGTTTTTGAGAATTCTCAAAAACCAGCTCTACTCCCTCGTTGGTTTTTGAGAATTCTCAAAAACCAGCTCTACTCCCTCGTTGGTTTTTGAGAATTCTCAAAAACCAGCTCTACTCCCTCGTTGGTTTTTGAGAATTCTCAAAAACCAGCTCTACTCCCTCGTTGGTTTTTGAGAATTCTCAAAAACCAGCTCTACTCCCTCGTTGGTTTTTGAGAATTCTCAAAAACCAGCTCTACTCCCTCGTTGGTTTTTGAGAATTCTCAAAAACCAGCTCTACTCCCTCGTTGGTTTTTGAGAATTCTCAAAAACCAGCTCTACTCCCTCGTTGGTGTTTTTGAGAATTCTCAAAAACCAGCTCTACTCCCTCGTTGGTTTTTGAGAATTCTCAAAAACCAGCTCTACTCCCTCGTTGGTTTTTGAGAATTCTCAAAAACCAGCTCTACTCCCTCGTTGGTTTTTGAGAATTCTCAAAAACCAGCTCTACTCCCTCGTTGGTTTTTGAGAATTCTCAAAAACCAGCTCTACTCCCTCGTTGGTTTTTGAGAATTCTCAAAAACCAGCTCTACTCCCTCGTTGGTTTTTGAGAATTCTCAAAAACCAGCTCTACTCCCTCGTTGGTTTTTGAGAATTCTCAAAAACCAGCTCTACTCCCTCGTTGGTTTTTGAGAATTCTCAAAAACCAGCTCTACTCCCTCGTTGGTTTTTGAGAATTCTCAAAAACCAGCTCTACTCCCTCGTTGGTTTTTGAGAATTCTCAAAAACCAGCTCTACTCCCTCGTTGGTTTTTGAGAATTCTCAAAAACCAGCTCTACTCCCTCGTTGGTTTTTGAGAATTCTCAAAAACCAGCTCTACTCCCTCGTTGGTTTTTGAGAATTCTCAAAAACCAGCTCTACTCCCTCGTTGGTTTTTGAGAATTCTCAAAAACCAGCTCTACTCCCTCGTTGGTTTTTGAGAATTCTCAAAAACCAGCTCTACTCCCTCGTTGGTTTTTGAGAATTCTCAAAAACCAGCTCTACTCCCTCGTTGGTTTTTGAGAATTCTCAAAAACCAGCTCTACTCCCTCGTTGGTTTTTGAGAATTCTCAAAAACCAGCTCTACTCCCTCGTTGGTTTTTGAGAATTCTCAAAAACCAGCTCTACTCCCTCGTTGGTTTTTGAGAATTCTCAAAAACCAGCTCTACTCCCTCGTTGGTTTTTGAGAATTCTCAAAAACCAGCTCTACTCCCTCGTTGGTTTTTGAGAATTCTCAAAAACCAGCTCTACTCCCTCGTTGGTTTTTGAGAATTCTCAAAAACCAGCTCTACTCCCTCGTTGGTTTTTGAGAATTCTCAAAAACCAGCTCTACTCCCTCGTTGGTTTTTGAGAATTCTCAAAAACCAGCTCTACTCCCTCGTTGGTTTTTGAGAATTCTCAAAAACCAGCTCTACTCCCTCGTTGGTTTTTGAGAATTCTCAAAAACCAGCTCTACTCCCTCGTTGGTTTTTGAGAATTCTCAAAAACCAGCTCTACTCCCTCGTTGGTTTTTGAGAATTCTCAAAAACCAGCTCTACTCCCTCGTTGGTTTTTGAGAATTCTCAAAAACCAGCTCTACTCCCTCGTTGGTTTTTGAGAATTCTCAAAAACCAGCTCTACTCCCTCGTTGGTTTTTGAGAATTCTCAAAAACCAGCTCTACTCCCTCGTTGGTTTTTGAGAATTCTCAAAAACCAGCTCTACTCCCTCGTTGGTTTTTGAGAATTCTCAAAAACCAGCTCTACTCCCTCGTTGGTTTTTGAGAATTCTCAAAAACC